GCCCTGTCCCGACATGCGCGGTCCCCCGGGCCTAGACACGCATCGCACCCGGCAATCGGCCCAGCTTCCAACGAACCCTGGGCCGCGCACGCGTCGACGCCGCCGCCGCCGCCGCCGCCGCCGCCGCCGCCGCCGCCGCCGCCGCCGCCGTAGCCGTCGGCACTGATCCGCCGGCACCGTATGTGTTCGACCCCGCCCAGGCCTGGCCATCTTGGCCTCCCTCGCCCCTGCTTCCTCCTCTGCCTCTCTCTCTCTCTCTCTCTGCCTCTCTGCTTGTTGCCCTCGCATCGCCCACGCCTCCGCACGCTCGCCCCCCCCCCCCCCCCCCCCCCCCCCCCCCCCCGCCCCTACACACACACGCACACACACACGGACGGACAGGCTTGCCGGCCCCCGCCGCTGGGTGGCGCCCTCCGCATTCGCACGCGCCCACGCGCTCGCCCCTGGACCGATGGCCGCACACCTGCAAGTCCTCTCGGCCGGGCAGTTCGACGCGCCGCCGGCCCTGATCCTGCACACCCGCAACCGGCGCTATCTGATCCAATGCCCGGAGGGGTCGCAGCGCCTGCTGGCCGAGTATGGCGTGGCCCTCGGCAAGCTGGACACCATCCTGCTGACGCGCGTGGCCCCGGCTCCGGCAGACATGCCGGCCGTCAATCCCCTGGCTGCTGGCCTGTGGTGCCGGTCGATCGGCGGTCTGCCGGGGCTGGCGCTGACCCTGGGCGATGCGGGCCACGCCCTGCCGGCCTCGCAGATGGCGAAGCCCTTCGGCCGCGGGGCCACCGGCGGCCCGGGCGGGTCGTCGAATTCGCCCCAGCGCCAGTCGCGCCTGGATGCTCCGGTTCCCGCCGAGGCTGAGGCCGAGGCCGCGGTGCCTGCCGCCGGCCCGTCCACCCCGCCTGCCGCCGGGCCGGCGGACGACCTGGACCGGCTGAGCCCACCTGTGCCGGCCCCACCAAGCCCGCCGGCTGCCTCATCGGCCGCGGCCATGGGTGCTGTCTCGGCCGCGCGCAAGCGCTCCTTCGGCGAGGCCTTCTTCCGGTCTCCGAGCATCCTGGCGCATGGGCCCTACCGGCGCCCGGGCCAGCATGGCCTGCGCTTGGTCGGCCCGGACGGCGTGGCCGACATCTCCAAGCTGGTGTCCTTCTTCGTGAACAAGTACGGCCCCTGTCCGGTGGTGGCCATTGGCATGGGTGGCCGGGCTCCGGCTGCCCGGCGGGATCATCGTGCTGACCCTTCGCCTGCTTGCATTTTTTTTCCCGCCTCACTCCGCAAATGTGTGGCCGCCCCGCCGCCCTGTAGGAACCACATGCCGCTGCAGCCCTTCGCCCTGGAGCCCGGGGATATCCTCTCCGATGGGGATGTCCTGCTGACGACGCTCCCGACGGCCGAATGCTCCGGCGCCTGTCGCGAGCGCGGGTCGCTTGCCGACTCGGACGGGTACGTCTGGCTGCTGCCCGGGGCCGAGGCTGCCGCCCTGCCTGCGGTTTGCCTGCGGTTTGCCTGCGGTTTGCC